CTGCGAGATCAAAGATCTGAATGTCCGCCGTCAAGTTCATGCACATGTGGTGCCACATGACGATGCAGTTCGGATTCAGCCGCTCGAGCGAGTCGCTGTAGCTGTTCACCACCTGCACCTGCAACGACGTCAAGCACCGGGCCCGACCGTCCATCGCATAGGTGTGGCACGGCGCGAACGGATAGCTCGAGCGGTTGGACAGCAGCCGGTGGTACGCTTCCGACAGACGCAGCTGCAGCATGGCCAGCAGACCGTGCATGCAAAAGTCATCGACAGGAGCGTCCAACGCCGGCAGAGACACCGTCTCCGAGGGGGCCTTGACCATGGGCATGAGGATCCGCTTGCCTCCGCGGATCAACTGCATCCACCGTGCAGACGAATTGGCTTTGAAGAGCTCGTCATCGCACGGGACAATGAGCTGGACGGAATCGGGGACGACGATCGGGCTGGTCGATAGGAAGGACGAATACCACGAGTCAATCAAAAGCAGGCCGATGACCAGTCTGCAGAATTAGCACTCATACCTAGAAATATATGATTCGATTCTGTACTCACCGCTTCGCAGACTCCACCCGACACCATGCCTTCCACCTCGTGTCCAGGTCAGGCACCGCTTCAAACAGCGACATGTCGAGAACCTGGCCTTCGCCCGCAGCGAAGAGGCCGTGCCTTTGGGCGATCTGCACACGTTAGCAGAGCCAAGACAGGGACTCGACAACATACCGACATGAGATTGATATAGAGCATCTGACACTGCTGCAGGTGCTCCTTTTCCTGAAGACAGTCAGCAGCCAGGCTCGACTCGCAGGGGAGGATACTAACCCCAGTCATGGCGGCGAGATTCAGCAGCAGAAAAGCCGTCGCAAAGGTCGACATGATCCCGGCGGGGGTCCCGCTGCCGACGGCGCACTTGGCCAGCTCACCACTGATCTTGTCGAGGACCAACTAGTACAGTCAGAAATATTATATATTGCATCAAATACTATAAAAGAACTTACGCCAAACGTCTTCAAAACAAAATGGGTAGACCCCTTGGTCCCCAAGATGATCATCCCAATCAGACACATGACGAAAAGCATGGGCAAACGCGTCCGCTTGGCGCAAAAAGTGGGAATGTGGACGAACGGGACCAGCGGGTGGTAATGGCGGAAGTACAGATCGAGGGCCATGTCCAAGATCTCGGCCGGAGGGAAGGTCGGGATGGACGCGGACGCCGAGGTGGAGGCGGCCGGCGAGAGCGCATCGTTCGCGGGCGAGTTCATCGAGGGGAGCGAGGACTGGGCCAGACCGAACGCGGCCTGCAGCTGCAGGCGGCACTCGTCATCCAGGCCGAAGCGGGAGCCCAGATAGTTGTCCGACTGCGGGCCGAGAGGAGGCGCATGGTAGTTGGGGATGGAGAAGAGGTTGTCGCAGTCGCAGCAGGAGACGTCGCGCCACAGCGAGTTGATCAGGCGGCCGACATGATTTGGCGGGGCCAGCCAGCATCGTTCGACGCGGCAGAAGCGTTCGTTGGGGATGTTGTCGCCAGACTTGATGGGCTGGCTGTTGCGGCGTTCGGGCGGGATGAAGTTCTCGCCCACCAAACCCAGAGCGGGGTCGCGCATCAGATCGAGCGAGCTGTGATGGGAGACGGTGTCGGCGCGGGGCTCGAGCCACAGCTGGAGCATCTCGTTGGGGACGGACTCGAAGGGAACGGGACGCGGATGCTGGTCCGGAGGATGCAGGGCGGCGACATCGTTCCAGCCAAAGTAGGGTTGCTGGTCATCGATCATCATGGGATTGATGTCAGGCTCGGTGCGGGCCTGGTGGGCGGAGATGTCGGCGAGGAAGTCCAGGCTGGAGGAGAGGCCGGCGGACTGGGCCAGCGGGACGTCGCGGGGGGTGGGCGGGAGGAGGCGCTGGGGGTCATCGCGCTGGGGCGGATTCTGGGAGGAGAGACTGGGGGTGGGCGTGGGATTGGAATTAGGATCCGAGTTGGAGGCAGATGTGGAGGAGGAGTTTGCATTCTTGTTGGCCGTGGCAGCCTTTTGCAGATGGCCCTTGGCATGACGACTCAGGACGTCGCTGTGAGTGCTTAGAGATGATATTTCGTTTATGTACAGTACATCGCGACGCACCTTCGGGAAAAGCGCTTGTGGCAGACACTGCACTCGTACGGGCGTTCCTTGGTATCTGAGAAGTCAGCAGAGCGATAAGATAACATCGACAGGTATGTACTGTACATACGAGACCGTTCATGCCGCTTGTAGTGCTCCGTCTTCTTGAACCGGCGGTCACAGATGGTGCACTTTCGCAAGACCATGGCGACGGAGAAGCAGCTCTCACACTCTCGCGGGGGTGGAGAGGGTGGGAAGAAGAGAGGAGACAAGCGTCAGCTCATGGTGTAGTCGTAGTAGTCGGAGGATGAGGATGGACTACGGAGATGCAGCCGGGGTAATTAGCGCGGGGATAAACCGAAAAGCCGGGGGAGAAGGCGCGACAGAGCAATCCGATCTGGCGGAGGCAGGAACCAGCCAGTCAAGTGACCGCAGGAAGGAACGGCAGTTGCGCCTGCAGACAAGCCGAAAGCGGTGGGGCTGTAGCAGCTGACAAGAAGTACCTACGAGTACGAGTAACGGTGATTAGCTTGTCAGAAATAACTTAATAGTAAGACTGAGACTGGGAGAGGATACCGTCCTCCTCCGTAGCTCGATCGACTCCCCACGGGGTAATAATCATCACTCGATCGAAATCATCGAATGAGAGAAGCCGGAGCATGGCTGAATCACTGGATCAGCTTACTAACCCGGAGCCGGGTCATGCTGCCACTGGCCAGTCAACTCGCCTATCGTTGCCAGCAAGGATATTTTCCGGGCTGGACAGCTATCTACCCCGCACGCCACCGGATAATTCCGAAGAATCAAAAGACCTCAGTAAACTACAGTAACAAGGCAGAAGAGTACGTAGTAATCAGTATACTGACGTGATTCAGCCAATAATCAACTGCCTATTACTGATTGCCTATTCTGGTTGGTCGACATGTAGGTGTATTACTAACGACTTAGTCAGAAAATACTCTATACCTAATCGAGCTTAGGTACCTAGCTGCTCCCGTCAGCTAATCAGAGCTAGCTAAATGGCCCGTGCATGCTGCCTATCGATCCAATCAGGTAAGTCGCAAATCGGATTTATTTCCCAGTTCCTAGACTCGCCTACGGAGTACGTTTTCGCTAGAATACTTTAGTTTTGTACGTACTTTTTGGGTACTACTACTGTCGTACCTACCTAACAGTGCTATTCAGCTGCATCAGCAAGTTTCAGTCAATCAATTCAACAAAACGAGCCGTAATAGGTAATAACAGGTGGGCAGGTAGGTAGTTACATAACTCATCAAGTCATACACACAGGTCCATACATAGCTAGACTAGACGACAGACAACAGAATTCACCTCTGTAAAATGACGACCCTACGCGCCGCTGCCATTCACAATCCCCGTCTTCTGCACCAGCTCCGCCAGCTTCTCGTCGTCGTAGAACGTCTCGAGCCGCCGCTTCTTGGCCTCCTTGTCTGCCTTGACCTCGGCCAGGATCTGCTTGATGCCCGGGTATGCGGAGAATTTGTCCTGCACAATCGCTTAGTATGTTATACACGTGTCTAGGGTGTGGTATGCTTACCGGCAACACATCCCACACCTTCGGGTCTGTCCCCTGGTAGTGGAAGGTCCCGCAGCCGCCGCGCGCGTACTCGGTGAACAGGAAGGTCCGGCTGCTTTCGACCATGATGGTCATTTGGTCTGCACTCGTCAGTCAGCTTTATTCTAGTAAGGGGTAAATTCTGGGGGAAACTACTTTCGAGAATCCGCCGCGGCTCGTTCTCCTGCACCCGCATCTCATACACATACGCCTCGCTGAACCCGCCGTGCGGCGTGTGGCTGACCTCGACGCTGCCGCCGCCCGGCAGGAACTCGTCCGACCGGCCCAGCCCTTGCCCGTACAGGCACGCCAGGAACTCGGTCGCCGAGTTGCGGTGGAAGTACGGCGGCCGGAACGTGTTGGACGCCACGTCCCAGCGCGGCCCGAACCAGAGGAAGTCGGCCAGCGGTGTGTTGGGGTCGCGCGACTTGGCCGTCAGCACGCAGTTGACCGACGGGTCCGTGTGGTCGACGCTGGTGGCGTTCTGCGACGCGAACTTGGTCAAGTCGTACTGCCTGAATTAGTAATGAGCTGAATACCGCAAGCAGGGGAACTACCTTGTACGGCACGACGTTGCCGTGCCAGGCCACCAAGTCGAACGGGCTGTGGTCCTGCTCGATGGCGTTGTATTTGCCGTTGTTCTTGTTGACAATCGTCCAGTTTTCGTGCAGCTCCTCGTCGATGTAGGCCACCGGGTACAGGAAATCCCGCGGGTTGGCCAGGCCGTGGCCCCCCAGGGGTCCCAGGTCCGGCAGCTCCCACATGGACCCCCAGACCTCGACGATGTAACCGCGCGCCTCCTTGTGGCCCGGCCCCAGCCGGACGGCGAAGCGGATGCCGCGCTGGATGACACAGATCTCACCGGGCTGGAGGAAGATCTTGCCCATCTCGGTCTGGATGTCGAGGTTGCCGTGCTGCGCGACGATGAGGAAGTCGCCGTCGACATTGCAGAAGGCGCGGTGGTCCATGTCGGCGTTGATCATGAAGACGTACAGCGCGATGCCCTCGCGCAGGTTGGGGTCTCCGCTGCCACCGAGCGTGTGCAGCCCGTCGACAAAGTCGATGCGCTCGTCTTCGGAGGGCAGAGGGAAGGGCGCCCATTCGGCCTGCTGCACGAGACATTCGACCTTGGGGTTGAGGGAGAGGAAGCAGTTTTCAATGTGGGCTTTGGTCTCGATGTTGGTCTTGTAGCCATCTGTCGGATTCAGCTCTGCCTCTCAATCTTCGTTGTGGACAGTCTTACTGTGAGCTGCGGCCGGCCTGACGCGGTACATGTAGGTGCTGAAGTTGGCATGTCGCGGGGCGGCAAAGGCCGAGTAGGTGATGCCCTCAGTGTACAGGCCAAAGCGAGGGGCCATGGGGTTGTTCTGGCCGGCCGGCAGCGTGCCGGGGATCACCTCAGACTGGTGACGGTTTCCCCAGCCGGCCAGGTACTCGTAAGGGTCATTGTCGCGGGTGGGCTTGCGGGTGAGGGTGTCGGTGTAGTGGAAGACTTTCTGCAAGTCCTTGATGGGGACCTTCTCCTTGACGGGGGGAGGAGCGGCGACCATTGTGATAGCAGAAGATATGCTAGACAGGTAGATAGGTAGGCAGTATTCGACAGATATACAGGACTCGTATGGGTATATAGGACAGCAGAGGAAAGCACTGGAGAGAACGAAGAACAGCAGATGAAGAAAGAGACCACCACAAGCAGCACCAAGATATAAGCGCGCTTAGCTCACACCATTCACATGAACGAAGAAAGCTTCACGAACTGCCGGTCTATTATTATCAGCAACAACAGCAACACCACGGAAATACTCTCAACCACCACAAACGCAGCAAAAGCCCAGCCAGGGGCCGCAAACAGCAGCAACAAGCCATGCGATGCAATGCGACGCGGGACATGGCGATGGCAAGTTCTCCACCTGCTCCCACTTGCATGCGTCTTTGATCGAGTTGGGGGCCAATCTAGCTGAGATCTAGCTGAGTTAATACTGATGTTTGTTTTCTGTTGGAGCGGCATCAGTATGGTACGCAGGTTAGCCACTCATTGCGAGCACATTACCTAGCACGATCCAACAGGTACCTACTATCCACGTCCGTAGCTAGACAGGTACCTAGCGGGGCGCTAATTAGTCTCGAATGCCAGTGGGGTATATAACAGAGCTGAGAGCATGGACGTCAGTAGGATCGTTAGTTTGTTAGACTTGGACCCTGACGCGGCCCCATCGCTCGCTGCGGGGCTCTGGAAGGTGTCAGGACTCGTTGCATGCGCGCATGATAGGCTGGCAGAGTGTATTTTCCATCAGTCCCCAGATGAATGAATGAATGGACAAGTGGCGATGACAGTCGTACTGTACAGACATAGTCGAGTAGTAGCAGATGAAAGACTGCGCGAGAAGGAAATCAGAGGGAAATCACATGGCATACGACGTACCCATTTCTGTACCTCCGTAATTCCGTAACGAAAACAAAAACACCAACGTCAAAAAAAAAGAAAGAGAGAGAGAGAGAGAGAAAGGGATAAGAGGAAGAGATACTTAGCGATCAGCATGTCAAAGACTACGTACTGTACAGACATCCAGGTACCCCAGGTGGGGGAGACTTGGTTAGGATAGATACTATCATTAGAAGTACTGTACAGTACAGTGTACAGAGCGAAAGTATGGGGATAGGCTACGTAATACGGTTCTAAGTACCAGAGTGAACGATTAGATTACAGACTATATAGGTCGAGAGTTGTTCAATGGAGTAATTACTAGGTAGATTGAAGGTAGGATAAGATATCTATATAGATAACTCAATGCCTATATTGTATCCCAGTATCAAGCTCTTTCTATCTTCCTATATAGTTTTAATTATATACCGTTCTATCGATTTAATTACATTGTAAAGATGCTTTTGAAATCTCTAGTAACGTCTTGAATATCATCAGTATATACATGCAATATCTACAGATCTCGCCGCGCCAACACATCGTCGACCATCCTCGTCGACGCCCCCAGGTAGTTGACCGGATCGCACAGCGAGCGCAGCTGCTCAGCACCCATCTTGGCCGTCACCTCAGGCTTGGCCAGCAGACAGTCGAGCAGCGTGGAGCCGTTCTCGATGCTCTCGCGGCAGGCCTCGTATACGATATCGTGCGCCTTCTGCCTCCCGACGTACGGTGCCATGCCCATCATGACGGCCTCGGCCACGATAAGCCCCTTCGTCGAGTGCAGATTGTGCAGCATCTGCTGCGTGTGCACCGACAGGCCCGACAGCGCAAACTGCGTCTGGGACAGCGCGCCCACGGCGATCACGAAGCTCTCGGGCACGGCCACCCACTCCAGATGCCAGGGCCCCGAGGCGCGCTCGAAATCCGACACCATGGCGTCCAGCACCAAGCCCGCGTTGGACCGCAGGATCTTGGACGCCGCCAGGATGACCTCGCTCGAGATGGGGTTGCGCTTCTGCGGCATGGTCGACGACGCGCCGCGGTGCGGCACAAACGGCTCCGACACCTCGCCGAACTCGTTGCTCGACATGACGATGATGTCCAGCGCTACCTTGCCCATCGTCCCACCTAGCAGCGCCAGGAAGTTGACGATCTCCGCCACCCCGTCGCGCGCCACGTGCCAGGTGATGGCCGGGTCGGTCAGGCCCAGCTCCTCGGCCAGGGCCCTGCGCACGCGCAGCCCGTCGTCGCCCGAGCCCAGCGACGCGAGCGAGCCGGCCGCGCCGCCGAACTGCACGAGCAGGGCGCGGCTGCGCAGCTGCTCGAGCCGCTCGAGATGGCGCTGGAAGCCGGAC